AGTCAATTTTTGAAAGAGTAAGTGAAACACTTGTATAGACATTTCTTCCCCGATCCCCCTTCTTTTGTATCATTATGCACTACGAAAAAGGGAACTTAAACAATGTAACGACCCGAACCGTCGTTAATTAGGAAAGGAAAAACTTTGGGGGGAAAAAACTGGACCCTACCATCCCGCTAGAGCGGGATGTCGCCACCAAGGCTGTGGCGCTTCAGCGGGTCAGAGAGTGCTAGGGCGGGATATTCAGGGGCACAACTTAAACAACGCAAAACCTTATTTTCTCTTTTTTTTCCAAAAAAACACCAAAAAGAGGCGAGAATCACCCCAGAAACCCTTAAAAGGCTGCTCTAGGCTTAGGAAGGAAGGAGAAAGAGATTTCTAGCATAAGGTTGACGATAGCTTGCAGATTTCTAGTCAAAATCTAAGATCCACTGTCCTGTCATCCTGAAAACCAGATTTTGAGCTACAATCCCTCTGTGAATGCTTGGCGCCAAGGTAGGCTAGGTTTATTAATTGAGTAGTTATAAATCCATGACTCACTGCGTAGTATATTGGTAATTGACAGTAGTATTCATGCTTAAACTTTTGTGCACCGAAAAAGAGATGATTATGTGTATATTCCTAATTTTTACATCAAAAGTATACCATAAGAGGAAGACATATCCCGTGAACTAGGTTTATGTGATGGTTGATTCTCTGTGTTGTGAAATAAACTTGTTAATGATTTTGTAAGATGCATACATGTATGGAATTAGGGATATAATAGGTCATACCTATTGAGAAGACTAAAATATGTACAATTGCATGCCATGAACCTAATACTTGATTGTATGGCTATAATTATGTGTGTTATGGATGTGATTGTGATTGTGATTGTGCTATTTGGATCGGGTGTCACATACTGACACACTAACTGGGATCGGATGTCATGTACCGACATACATATTGGAACGGGTGTCACATTCCGACAAACTAACTTGGATCGTGTGTCTCGATCTGGCACACTAACAGTTTGGGTATGGGTTCCCTGAGAGGACCACTTGTGATTAATATCTTCGTATCTACATGTTATTGATAATGTGGAATTGAACACTGTTCCTAAAAAGATAACTAGATTGTACATTATATTTATATATGTGAGTTTGGGGTGTCGTAAGGTAATTGGGCATATTTAGTTAATGAATGAACTGTGAATGGTCGGGTCCAATTCGGGATGCGGTATGGTAAGTGGAGACCAAGGGTCCAGGTGTTACCTTGTGTACTTTAGAGAAGTAGTTTGTGTCCTTAAAGTGCGAATTGGGGTGGTGTTATGTCGTAAAGGTTAAATAACTAGGTGTCACCCTAGAAGGGGCTGCTAGGTGTCACCCTGGAAGGGGCTAGTATTAAAACGGTTTAACAAGACTTGATAGACGTACCATAGGGTTATGGGTTTAGTAGTGATGTGGGTGAAGTAAAGGTGTGTTGTGAGTGTTGATCGGATCGGTAGTGGTCATATCTGAAATCTCTCCTAAGAGATAGACAGTTAAGTTATGAGTAATGATATACCGTGATTTTAAGGTATTTTTGATGTGTTTCACTAAGAGTTTGTGTGTATCTTGGGGTATTTTGTATAAGAAATAATGTTTTGTGTATCACATTTGCTGGGAAATAGGGTTGGATGCGGTTGATGAAGATACGAGCTGCAAAGATGCAAAAGTGACCACTAACGGAGCCTCCCACGGACCGTAGGTCCAATGAGGGGACGTGGGTGGACAGTCGTAAGTCTTGGTCTGAGAATTGAGTTTCAGAACTCAAACCACGACTGACAAGACAGACCGTAGCCCAACCCACGGACTGTAGGTGATGCATCGTAGGTGGAACATGAGGGAAGTCTGACAAAGTGTGGAATCACAGAGAAGTCGACAGAACGTAAGTCGACCCATGGTCTGTCCTGCATATCTGTCGATGGTGATCTGAGAGTTGGAGGTTCCAGTACCTGATGAAATTTTCTAAGTGTTGAGCAACAGAGGGGACTTACGGACCGTAAGTCGACCCACGATCCGTAGGCGAAGCGTCGTTTGAAAACGTGTCCTGGCAGTTTATTTCCTTATTTTGTTTCCTGTTTTATTTAGGATTTGTTTTCTATAAATAGGATTTATAAACCTCGTTTTTAGGGGTTAGACATTATTGTAAACTCTTAGTTTTTGGTGTTTTGGGAATTAACTTACAAACTTTAGCAATTTGATTTTGAAATTCGTTTATTATAATTTTCACTTTGAATTTCAATTGAAGATTTCGGGTTTCATCAATTCTACTTGTAAGTTCATGAGTTCTTCTTATCTAATTATGAATTGTGAATTCCCAAGCATGAGTAGCTAAATCCACAACTAGGGTTGTGGGAACCATGAGCAATTAACAAAGTATGAATAATAATTAAGTAATTCTTGAATAGTGTTTATGCATGTATTGTTTATTCTTTCGCTTAGGAGTATTTTTAATCGTGTGCAACGTTAGAAATCGCATGATCACTACTTGCTGGACCAAGGAGGTAGTTAATGAGAAAAAAATTAACAACAGAGATTTAGTGGATGCTATCTAATAGTCTAATGTCAATTGGAGCGAGGGTGAAAAACTAAGTCATACATTGATGTGATGTCTAATCTAAGGTAAAGGTAAGGATTAGTAAAGCATACATTCATAGCTGGACCAAGGTGCTAGGTGAAATTCCCTACTTGGAGGACCAATCACTTAGGGATACCTAACTTACCAACCTTGCATGCTAAAAATTGAAATAGATCACTAGTACGATATTCTTGCTATTTTATGAAATCATGGGGAACACATTCCTAGTTATTTCTAATAATCTGAATATAAATATGTGGGGAGCACACATACCCTAGTTTCTCTCCCATATTGATAACTCAAAGTTTGAATCTTGCTTACTTGTTACTTAATCAACAATCTGTTACTTGCTTACAATCAACAATAG